GTTATATATTTTATCACCTAGACACGTATTGAATAATATTGTACAGTTTTCCGGATTTTCTTATTCCTTTTCACGCCACATTGTCATTTATTTTCCATCTATTGTCGAGAATCAACTGACGATCATTATTTCCACTTATAATTTCGCCACACCCAATCCCTCGAAATACCTTCCTGCCGGCTTTCAGAATAAATCACAATTACTCCTTCTCCCGAAAGGCAAACTATCCATTGGATCGGACCACACCTCAAAACCTCTGAAGGCCTCCATTCGTCCGTACACTATTTCTTGTTCCGTCTTCTTGCAGTAAGAAAATAAGGGGCCCGATTTCCGCCGGGTGCGGATTGAAAGGTATTTTTGTAACCTCTGACCGTGTTCGATAACTAACGAAATCACCACCCATTTAATAGATTTTATTTTTAGATTGGGATCACCACTGTGATCTTCTCAGGCACATCATGACTACATGAAAACCACTATCACGTACCAACCATTTAGGGTACGCACCCCTAGTCAAGAGGTATTCACTCGGAACCATAAACTAGTCTTCTCAGTGTGGACGCACAGTTATAAGGAACATTACAATGGAGAAGATCGCGAACACGACCTGAAAGGCCAAATAACCTTCCGAAAGATTTAAATAGCCCTTCTGGAGGCGCCGCTGTGTCCGTCCTGACGCAAATAGTTGAACTGGTTGCTGCGCAGGCCAGACCTTCCTCGAGAGGCTGTCTAGTTCCACACTGATGTCAGCGGCGACACGACTTAACATTACCTCTACGTGCGGTATCCGATGACCTGGCCACCCCGTGCCCAGCACATAACAGACGAGGCCTAGTACCAACAGTGATGAGATATTTCCAAACCATTCTCAATGGGATTGCACATGCAAACTACGGATGTGTCTGATGCAGCCGACACCATTTAAAAGGGAGAACTTCTTAGGAGCTCCGGCCGAGGACCATCAAAAGATTGCAACTTATCCAGCCGCTCAGCCGGCTCATTTGGTATCATACACACAGGCAGCAGTGATAATAAAGGCATCAACCATCACCACTGCAGCGACTTCATTCTGACGAAGAGGGCCGTCGTCGATGACGGGCCAGCTTTTTGTTCATAACAGTAAACAAACGCAAACAACAAAATTATTCTCAGGGAAATAGATATACAAAAGTCGCAGTTTGGGGGAGACAATGATTGAAGACAGAAAGAATGCAATAAAAAATCGCTTCGTTTAAGGAACGCAACGAACTCGGCAGGCAATGAGGAACAGAGACGGGTTACGCAAAGTCAAAATAATTTTTAAAAAAGACAGTGTTGAGCATCAGAACGGATCTAACGTTCTAGGTAGTTGCGAACTTCGGACTGTAGCCTGGCTGACTTGTAGTCAGCCCGCAATTGTAGGAAGTTGGAAAGGAGTTCTCTGGGGATTCCTGAGCGTATATAGTCCAGCCAAACCTGTCGTACATTCTGGGGCTTGATAAGCATCAAGTTCATCAACTTCAACAAGACATCGAAGAGGTAATCAATCATTGGCAGGTCAAATTCCTTGGCGGTGTCTCGGTAGGCGGTTACATCTTGCATTGCCACGAACCCGCCTAAGAGGATCATAAGTTGAGAATAGAGCAAAGGGAAATAAGTAACACGCATGGTCTTCAAAAGAACTGCATTTTGTGGATGGCAGGAAGGAACAGATAGACAAATATGTTTTGACTTGAGCCATCTAGTCGCCGGCGATGCGGCGAACTTCAACGATCGCGTCAACCATTGGCTCTACCGTACCTTAAATTTACATTCTATGAGGCATTTTGACGTTCTACCCCACAACAACCCGCAAAGGACTGCTAACGTCCCCGGCGGGCTCTTCGCTTTTCTACCTACTGACTCGTATCATCTGACGTCGCCAATAAGGCGAGGTACCATTCCGATGTAATAATAACACATGCGAGTATACTACTTGGAACAAGCGAGTAGTCGTGCAAGTTTAGTCTTTCCGACCAAGCGAAGGCTGCTCGCCCTTCGTCTGCAATTATGTAAAGAACTTCTTTTGGAAGTTTTCTGCTCTACATAAGCATTTCTTGGTCACTGTGCCTATCTTTCCCTTAATAAAATTGAACTAAACTGATTTACTCGGTGTAAATGTATCACCTCTCCACTGAGGGATAGCAGATGACAGAAGGAATGCAATGAAGAGATCCCTCGTCGTCCTATAGCCGAGCGCACAGATACATAATGGCAATACGGGAGTGGCACGTCAGTACACTCTAGTAAAAAAAGGATGAATAACTGCAGTACACTCGGTTGTTCCACACTCCGCGATCGCAGCCGATCGGACTTGACTGTAAGAATGTTTCCCAGCACAGTTTCGTTGACTTGAAAACCTCAGGCTTGATAACGAACCTTCGAGGTAGGATAAGATCCATCCAGAAGGCAAGCACGTAAGTGCAACGTACCCATATCCGAAAAAGTGTAGCCATAGAAGTGGTCAACCAGAAGGCGATGGAAAC